GCCCGATTTATATATTTATTTTTAATGATTTTTTAAAACTTTGTATTGTATTGTATTAAACTGTTTTTAACTGGCTGTAAGCCGCCCTGAGTCCTACGGGAGAAGGGCGGGGTATAAATATAATAAAATGAAAAATGAAATGAAAATGAAATTTATGATAAAAAGCATGTAAAATAAATGAGAGTACATATGGTGCTTGATAGGTGGCCCCCAGATCCTCTGGGAGTTTTTCCCAGTTTTCCCACCTCCCATCTGATCAGGATTCTGTTAGAAGTTTCAACAGATCACTCATTGCCTACTCTAATGTTAGCAAGAAAATAGTCTTAAAATAGAAGTTCTGGGTGGGGATGAAACAAGGTCAAACTTACATAGTTCCTTGGTATTAGCAGCAGTGGGGAATCAGAAACCTACAAGGAGTTGTAGGTAAAATAGGAGAAAATGTTCTTCTCCCATAATGTTCTCAATTCAGCAGTTTAGTATGCCGGGTGAATGCAGATGTGCATGTGTAATATATACATATGTGAATATTTGTGACCCCAACTGACCATGTAGCACTGTTTGCATAGTGGGTTGAAAATGCAATTAATTGGTTCCAGGAGGTGCAACAAATGCTAAAAACAATGATTGGCAAAGAAACCATGTGACTTTCCCTGTGACCCTGTTTTTGACCGGGAAGTACTTCCTGTCTGTCCCTTTTCCTATATTAGCAACTTTCCCTGCATGGCCAGCTTCCTGTCCATCCTCTGCGACCATCACCCTCTTCCTTTTGCAGTGACCTTTGCATGACAGACTCCCTGTCCATTCTCCCCAGCTGTCCGCCTTTTCCTATTGTTGCGCATCAAGTAACAAACAAACAATGAATACCAGACAACATTTTCACGTTAAAATGCATTGAGTACCAAATTCGACAAGTTTTGAAGCAATTGAGTACCGAGGTACCACTGTGAAATGTTTGTTTATTAATAAGTACTCAATATTCAATTGAGAGATTGAATCTAGCCCCTTTAACCTTTCTCAAACATTTAATGAACTTTTGTTTATGTCTACTTATATCAGGCAGGGCATTAGCATTGCATATGATACTTCCTTCTTACAGTCAAAATATTGTTACAGAGATTTGGGGTATATATCTTGTCCCTGTCTCCACTCTCCAAATACAATGTATTTTGTTTTAAATAAATTATTTGACAATTTTCTATCAAAGTCTCCTGTTCTTACTTTAGGAGTATAAGCAGTCTTCATTGATTGGATTAGCTACGTATCTAGTATAATGTCTTAAGGTGGCTACCAAGTATCTTTGAAAAGTCCAAAAGAGGGCGTGAAGTTAATCACCGATTCCTATTGTGGTTTTCCATCACTTTTCTAGCATGTTGTTTTGAATTTAAAAAACAATAGACAAAATGTAGTTTTGAAAAAAAAATAGTACTTTGGCTCCTAAAATTGATTCTGTTATGCACTCATAGTGGATAATTTTTAAATGATAATCTTATTGCTGTTTAAAAATGATCTATGTTATTCCAATATAGCAATACAGGTACAGATTTGGATAAATAGAAAGTGGCCAGCAAATGTTTGGTTAAATGATCTAAAAGGGTAAAACTGTCAATTGTGACATTTTGTGTCAGAATACGTATACTCATTTATTATTTTTTGAAAACCTCAATTTAAGACCATTCATTGATTTTAGATATACTACTTTCCAGTAGTTTCATTGGATTTTTGATGTCACTGATACAATAAGTAAATTGTTCTGTATTTACCTGTTATACTTATTTCACTAATTCACTAATGTTATACTAGAGTTCACTAATTTAACTATACAGAATTTACAACTTAAAATACATTTTATTTAAAATTCTTTATAATTGCAGGTGTACCTTGTAATTATACATCTTAATCGCCTCTCTTTCTCTTTTCCTCCATTCAGTTATTAAGCTAAACTGTTGAATTAAATAGGTGGTGCTATTTTAATCTCCATAAAAATACAATCTGCATTTTTTTTGCTTTCAAAACATTATTAGGCTTTACTCTAAAGTTGTAACGGAAGCATGCACGTGTCTCATTGCAATCACTTGAGGATGGTTAAGCAAAATCTCATTTTCTATCTACAGGTGATGTATCGCCAATCAATATGTCACCCATCAGTCAGTCACAATTTATTCCACTTGGAGAAATCCTTTGCTTGGCCATCTCATCAATGAACGCAGCACGAAAACAAGTCACGCAAGAAGCTTTAATAGAGCACCTAACAACCTGCTTTCCTGGTAAAATATATACTAATCTGTTTCTAAACACATGCACAAATGATTAGATGTATAGATAGCCCTGCTTCAGTAGTTGTATATATAATTGTTCTGTATCGTTCATCTGTAATATCAGTGTGATTCCCAGCTATGCATTTGTATGGGCTCTGAACTAAGTCATCTTATTTTTAAAAAACTGCATTGAATAATTGTTAACCTATATTCTGCCTCCACAATTCTCTTATAATGGCAGAATCTACTATACTTTTAAATTCATTCTCTTCTCTGGTTACTTTTGTCTTTAAATAAAACCTATATTATTTTACTTCTTGTTCTCTTATAGGTCGCATGGACATATTTTTCACATACTGATATTTATTTGAAGGTGTCATATTATTGTTAAGAGTAGAGGTCTTAAAGAAGCCTTAGGCCCATGTACAAAGAGGCCACATTTATGCTAATTTTATTCCTTTAGTGCTAAGTACATTTCTATTTTCAGTTCATAAGGTCACACATTTTATTTAAATTGTTTTACTATCTTTATATATGAACTATAATTCTTTCGTAGTAGATCCAGTTAATAAACAAAATGAAACTTAGTTTACCATTCAGATCAACTTTTACTCATTACTTCTAGATTGGCATACTTTCTTAGAACAAATAAAATCACTGAATATCATGTAAGAAATCACAGAATGTTTTCCCAACTTTCTGGCGACAAGAATGGCATATGATAATTACTGAACATTTAGTAATATTTTCTCCTTATATAAGCACCTAATTGTTTTTTAGAAATGATTTCCTGTTCTTTATTTTAGATATATGCAAGGAGTAATTTAAAATTACACGCTTTACAGAAAAAGATTCAATGTTTTGCCCAGGTTGCTGTTTTATATTATTTAAGAAAATTATTGTAAGTCCAAATAATCCATTTTTTCAATTAAGTTTTCATCGTGATGCATGGAGGGCATATATTACAAATATAGCAATAGCACTTAGACTTATATACCACTCTATAGTTCCTTACAACATTCTCTGAGCAGTTTACAAATGTCAGCATATTGCCCCCAATAATCTAGGTCCTCAATTTACCGACCTCGGAAGGATGGAAGACTGAGTCAACCTTAAGCCTGTTAGGATTAAACTCCTGGCAGTGGGCAGTTAGCCTGCAATATTGGATTCTTACCACAATGCCACCACAACACCTTCCTATTCAAATATATTTGGAATAGATCCTTCAATTTTTAAATTAGGAGTTGAAAAAATACTAGTAATTGGAAAACAGTTATTAAAGTCACATGTAGTCTGACAGCATGCATAATTTTCATTCTAATTTGGGGGTGAAATTTTTTAAATGCTCTGATCAATGTAGCTCTGTTTTGTCTGGGTTCTGAAATGCACATGTATAGATTGTGTGATGCCTACCTTAATAGCATATGAAACCAGATTGATATTGTGTGCATAGTTTGCTAAGCAATAGGGGGAAAAAATCTGAGCCACAGCTATATAAAGAAGAAAATGTGCTAATTATTTATGGCATCACATTGCAAGCATTATGCATTTTAAATCAAATATATTAAGCAAATGTTTTGTTTATTGACTCTCAATAATACATCTTAGAAGAAAATGATACTAGAAGATTATGTAGTATTTGGAATATGTTGTTTCATGCCTACATATTATTGGATGGTCTAGGAACATATGGCTAACCATAGAGCATCTGCATGCTCACATTAATATTCAGAAACATCTGAATCTCATTATGAAGGAACTTCAAACTATGATGTTAATTTTGAGGAGAGGATTGAGCATCTTACCCAGAATCAATGTCTCCTTCCTTCCTTCCTTCCTTCCTTCCTTCCTTCCTTCCTTCCTTCCTTCCTTCCTTCCTTCCTTCCTTCCTTCTTTTTCTTTTTTTTAAAAAAACCCAAAAACAAATCTTTACCATCTACAGATACTGAATGGAGGTTCCCTATTAATTCATAAGAGAACTTGGATGAAATAGGAGGTAGGAGATACTGACTTATCAAAACAATGCATCTCTGCCCAGCTTGGTTCCAAAACTGATCATGTCATATCATATCATACCATATCATATTTTAAAACGTATTCAAAGTAAAATTGATTCTGCTGTGGATACAAGGAAGATAAAGAAATGCTCGATTGTGCCTAATACAATTATAATGTCTTTTTGATAAAAATGCATTTCAAGAACGCATTAATGAACACATTAAGCTGCAAGTATTGTATATGTACATGAAGCAATTTACAGCTTTAATCTTCTTCGAAAATTGTATTCAATATCTGCCTTCACAGTTCATCTACAGTATATGCTACTAAATCTCTTGTGGTCATGATGCTTAACTGGGCAAAACAATGCATCATAGGGCAAGAATTTTTAAAATTCTTAAAAAAGTACCTCAAATGGACTAACTTACAGAATGTGTCCAAAATCCAAGATTCATGATTCATGATGGAATAACACTTGGGAAAGTTGTGACTGTTTTAATGCTACTGGCTGTTGCCACACTGCTGCTACGTGATCTTCATTTTCAATATTCCTTCACAGGTTCCCAACTAATCTTGCAAACTCTCCCTTGCTCCCTTACCCACCAGCAGCAGCCACTTAACTGCCTGCTTGAAAGGAAAAGTAAGAGAAGGGAAAGGGGAGGGAGGGAGGAAGGAAGGGACCCCTGTGCACTCTATCACCAATGCAGCTTCCCTGACCTATGTTGTGCCCCCCCCTCCACCTGAAACCATCAGCAAACAAGTTCAAAATGGTTGGATTCTGACTATTTACATAGCAGAAAGATATTAAGGGAAGCAATGTACAAGGTCCTGGGACACCCCACCACAAAAAACCACACTGAAATGTTAAAAATTATGCATGACAACCACAAACTGATAGCCTTTAAAAAAAGTCTCCTATAAAGTTAAAATTTAGTAAAATGTCAAAGTTTTAGTGAAAGGAATAAATTTAATTTTCTTCTGGACTACTGTATCAGGTTTATTGAGAGAACGTAAATTCCAATTCAGTATTCCTATTCCAACCCCAATTGGGGAAGATTTTTATGCAAATTTATTTTCTAATACTAATCAAGACCTCTCACACAAACTACTAATCGTCTGTAAAAACTTTCCGTTTTGGCCTGCAGTGTCAGATATTTTTTTAAAAGCAATATGAGATTTATTATTATAAGCTTCCAGCTCTCACTTTTCCAAGTTTGACTCATGAAATAGTTGTCAATGCAAACCATTGGCCAGGTCAAGGCCCAGGAAAAGATAAATTTGATTCTGGTGACCTTCAGTGTCTTAATAACAGAAGAGCTGTGACAAAAAAGAAAAAAGAAAACATCTTGGGCTTTCTACAAGTGAGAATTATAAACTCTAAAAAAAAATTTGACCTTTCTGGATTACAAATACTAACTCAACTGTGACACTAAAGCTGTCTGCAGAGAAAGGAAAACTCTGATTTTTGGCTATCATGGAAAACCAGAGATCTGCAGAAAGAATATACCAAGAAAAAACAAATATTATTCAGGAGATCTATGCTGTGTTGCAACTAATCCAAACAACAATAATCTCAAACCATGAGAAAATTAAACATAACCTTGAAAACATAAATGAACATATCTCCAATTTAACTTTATAACATAAACATTCTCAGAAAATAAAAATAGAGAGTGAGCAGAAAAAACAGACAACTGAATACGAGACAGAGGAGAGATTTCAAGATGGAATCTAACAATACAATAACAATACAAAGTATGACTTAACCCAGATGGGAAAAAATTTACAGGAAACTCTGGACATGGAAAAGACAAACTGCACTTTAAGATTACAAAATAAGTTTGAGGACAAGAAAAAAGATTTGGCAAAATGGATTTTGTCAGAAGAATTATGAGAACTTGAGAGACAAAAAATAATAAAATCAATAAAGAAAAAAAGGAAAAGATTTTCAAAGAATACGAAGGGGCAAAACCTTCCTATAAAAACATCATCTTACCTGTTTTGCCTTTTGTACCTGCAACAACATTTATAAGATTATGTGAAGACTCTTTGACTCATTGAAGCATGTTGGGCAAAAAAAAGGGGCTAAAATGAGAATTAAGAAATTAGATGATGGGAATTACCAGAGGGAGTATTTAAAAATTAAACATTTGTTCTTGAATATGGTTAAAGAAATAGAAAGATTTTGAATATAAAATAAGATTAGTTTAAGAGGGGTGAACGCCTCAAGTAATAGTATGCCTTCTTTTTTCTTTTGTGTTTGGTTTTTTGACATGAGAAATATAGAAATGTTGGGATGGTTTATATAAAAGAAATATTTTCTCTGTTTTGTCTTTTTTTCTCTTATTTTTCTTTCACATATGAGAAATGTAAAAATGTGATGGCTTGTATGAGAAAAAAGACTTAAATACTTAAGTGTAACTAATTTTGAGAAAATCTTAAGTAAGAATGTTTTGAATATTGTGTGGAAAACAAATTTAAATAAGAATGTAAACAGGATTTATGACGAGGCAATCAAGATAATTAATGAAAAGAAGCTTTATATTGATTTTATTATTTGAAGAAACATGAGAAAAATGTTTATATTTAATTGTCATTTATTTAAATAAGAACTGTATTAATTTAAGTTTGGCAAAGGAGAATATTATTGGAAGAAGAGGAAATCAAGTAAAGCTATTATACGGGCTATAGAATTATAGAAATTAATTGTTACTGTTTTGAAATACTAACCCAGAGAACACAATGTTTACCAAATATTAAGGTATATGTTAAAAATTAATAAAACATATTTTAAAAAAGGAAACTATTGGCCAGGTAAATGAATACATCAAGTATCTCTGTAAATGAAATAAGTATTTTCTTTCTTCTTTCATGATTCTAATTTATGCCAACATAAATAGTTCAGTTAATGATTGAGAGGGAAATGTCTATGGAGATTCTCAGTCATCCACGTCATGATTATCCCAAAGGTGCTTTTTCATGAGGCAACTGGACTTTCTTGTTTTTCTTTGAAGACGTTTTGCTGCTCATCCAAGAAGCTTCTTCAGCTCTGACTGGATGGTGGGGAATGGCAGGATTTATACTCCTTGCAGACAGCTGGTCATTTGAATTCTTTTAGCAAATCGTTGAAGCCCCTGGAGGCTTATCTGTGTTGTCAAGGTCACTTGAGTAGTGCAAATGGGTGTGGAGCCTTCTTGGAACTGTTGAAAGGACTGTGTTGTAGACTGGAGATAGATGGTGTCATATCACTCCCCCTCTGTTGAGAGAGGGCTGTTTAATTTGAGATAGATGGCTTCTTTGACTGATTTTAACATGAATAATGATTTTTCTAATAACTGGATTTCTTTTTAGCAGTTGTATCATGGAAATAGGTGTTAAATCTAAATTGTCTTTACATATAAAAGAGCCCTCTGTTAGTCTGGTTTTTTTCTTTCAGTCATAAGGTAGTGATCTGAAAGTCTGTATTATACATAATGGCTGTAACATGTGCCCCAGAAAAGTGCAGCTAAGAAATTGTTTGTATTATATTCAATTTATATGACAAACTTCCAGAAAATCACCTACATGCTAGAATTGTTATATTGTATTTTATAATTATTAGGAAATATATAATATGCTAAATTGCTTAATCTGGAATATCCAAAAGTTCAGTTTGAATAGCACTTTTTATTATAGTTGCAAATGTCTAAAAAAAACATCAAAGCAGCAGTGGTCACACAAAAAGAAAAAGTTCCAAAATATTTTGCTTTGCTTTGATATCTTCATATCAAAGTAATTTCTTGAATTATAGGTTGTATTTCACTTTTATGGATCATATGTATAATTTGAGATTCACTAGAGATATATTGGGGATTTTTTAAAACTCTTGTTAATTTTCTGATGTTATTTAAAACAGCAGAATGATGTCTTTTTGATTTCTTGCTTTTGTGTTTTAAGAAAGACTTAATTAAAATAATATTTATCAGAATTCTCTCAAGTAGAAGAACACAGATTATAGTTAAACATTTGGATATAAATTTGAATTTTATCAATATTTTATTTGTACTTTTAAAAACCTGACTAATGCTTTTTTTGTTTAAAATTTTTAAGCACAAACAATAAGTTGAAAGCAAACCCATAGCAAGATGCTTTGCCAGGGTGTTTTTGTTTTTTTTACTTTTCTTTTATCTTGGGAAGATCATGGATTATTTGAAGGAAGGGCTTCAAAAGAATATTCAGAACTGTCTCTAATAAAATGCATCTCATTTTTCACATTATTGTTTTTTTTTAGGTGTTCCAACTCCAAGTCCTGAAATCCTTCGTCATACCTTAAACATGCTTGTACGAGAAAGAAAAATATACCCAACTCCAGATGGTTACTTCATTGTGACCCCGCAGACTTATTTTATAACACCTTCCCTCATAAGAACTAACAGTAAATGGTACCATCTGGATGAGAGGATACCTGACAGGTCTCAGTGTACCTCTCCACAGCAAGGAACTATAACTCCTTCCACCTCGGGCTGTGTCAGAGATCGAACGTTACCTAAAAACCACTGCGACTCTTGCCATTGTTGCAGAGAAGACATGCATAGCATGCATGCATCGACTCTACAGAGGAAATCAACAAAAGACTGCAAAGACTCTTATTGCCCTCCTTCTCTTTGCCAGGTGCCACCCACTGAAAAAAGTAAAAGTACTGTAAATTTTTCTTACAAAACAGAGACACTTTCAAAGCCTAAAGATGGAGAAAAGCAGTCTAAAAAGTTTGGGCTAAAATTGTTTCGACTGAGTTTCAAAAAAGATAAGACAAAACAGCTGGCCAATTTTTCTGCCCAGTTTCCTCCTGAGGAATGGCCTTTACGGGATGAAGATACTCCTACCACTATACCTAGGGAGGTAGAAATGGAGATTATTAGGCGTATCAATCCTGATCTGACTGTGGAAAATGTCATGAGGCACACTGCACTAATGAAGAAGCTTGAAGAAGAAAAAGCTCAAAGGAGCAAGGCTGGATCATCAGCTCACCATAGCGGGAGAAGCAAAAAAAGTAGAAGTCATAGAAAATCTCATGGAAAATCTCGGTCGCACAGCAAAACTCGAGTCTCTAAAGGAGATCCTTCAGAGGGTTCTCATTTAGATGTGCTAGGTGAAAGGGAATATGATTTCTATGATCCTCTCATGAGATCCCCAAGGGAAGGCTGCTACATAATAGAACACAAAAGGGACAACTTTATCATGCACAGCAGTCCTAATGTTCTTGAGTCTCATTTTCCTATGACACCTGAATGGGATGTATCTGGTGAATTGGCCAAAAGGAGAACAGAAATGCCTTTTCCTGAACCTTCAAGAGGAAGCTCCCATTCTAAGGTCCATCGAAGCCACAGCCACACACAGGACCGAAGATCAAGAAATGAGAGATCCAATAAAGCCAAGGAACGATCTCGATCTATGGATAACTCAAAAGGACCTTTGGGTACTGCTTCCTTAGGTACCCCTGAAGACATAGCTGAAGCTTGCAGCCAAGATGACCAAACAACTAGTCAAACATATATAGATGATAGTACCTTAAGGCCTTCACAATCACTTAGTCATCAAAGGGCTCTTCTGTCATCTGTAAATTACAAAGAGGTAATTAAACCTGAAAAGACTGTTGGCAGTGCAGAAACTCCTATTTCCTGTACCTTGTTAGAACAAAGCAAACCAACTGAGAACTTACCACCTTATAATGAACTCAGTTCTTGTACAACAAAATCAGCCATTGATGATTATTTTCAGTGTAATACTTCCAGTGAAACAGTACTCACAGCTCCTTCACCTTTAGGAAAGAACAAAGATGACAGTGACCCAGTGACTTTGGCAGACAGTACAAAAAAAGTCTCTCCCTCAGAAAGACAGTCACAGCACTTAGCTAGAGAACCAGGAGTCCATAGAGAGGAGTCACCTAAAGGGCCAAGTAATAATAGTGGGCCAATTGCTGCAAGTCAGACAGCTGAAGTAATTACAAATGGTCGACTAGCTCAACATCACAGCACAGAGTCCAGTAGCCTTGATAAGAGGAAAGAAATATTTAGTAAAGACACGCTTTTTAAGCCTCTCCACAGTACTCTATCTGTCAACAGTTTTCACAAACCTAATGTGCCACACTTAAAATCTCATCAAAAGACACCTTCTGAAACTTTGCCAAGCAGATGTGATAAACTTGAACAAGCTATGGTAACCTCAGTCACACAAGTCATACCAATTTCCCAGAGACAGCAAGAAACAGCTGGAAACCAAGAAGCAGCTTTTGATTATTACAATGTGTCTGACGATGATGATTCTGAGGAAGGGACTAATAAGAATACAGAGGAAGAGAAGAATCGGGATGATGTGGGCACTATGCAGTGGCTTCTTGAGCGAGAAAAAGAAAGAGACTTGCAAAGGAAGTTTGAAAAGAATCTCACTCTACTTGCTCCAAAGGAAACTGAAAACAGCAACAGCCAGAGAGCCACACATTCAGCAAGGCTGGACAGCATGGACAGTAGTAGCATCACAGTAGATAGTGGATTCAATTCTCCACGGTAAGATTTTAAATTAACAACATTAATTTTCAGCAGCCTTCAATGTAATGTCTCGTTACCATAAACAAGTCATGGAAATATTGCAGATTTATAGTGTTTTAGGTTGGAGTTCTCCTACAGCTTGAGGCAGTGTTTAGGGTCTTGGATTTGAGTAGAATGTATCATAATGGCTTAGTAACAGTCACCTAAATAATTAAACTATGACTCCATATAATAAATCAGACTTTTCTAGAATAACATTTACATTGTGGTAGCTTAACTGCTTCCACATGATTGGAAAATTTTATTTCACCTCAGTTATAGATGCCTGTTGTCTTTGGCTGCAGGATCATACATTTCAGGTGTGTGTATATAGTGTTTATAGATTCAACCTATTGCCAAAGTTATTGTTTCTCTGTGAGATAAGACTTAATATAGAGCTAATATATAAACCATGTTGGTGCAAGTGAAGCACCCCTCTTTGAAGTGTTGAAGCAGGTTCTGTATATTCATGTACAGATATTTTTGGTGATTACTGCTGAAGCCAAGTATTCTAGAGAATGCAATTACTTCATCACTTCGAGGGGCACTTTGAGATGGTTTTTTATAGCCATACTATTTACTGTTTTGCAATAAATAGAGTACCTGTCTGTCTCTGTCCACTTGTGGTAATAAAGGTTCAGAGTTAAAATAATTTTTATGCTAAAATGAATTGAAAAATGTTAAAGAATTTCAAATGCTCTATATTTGTCCCATGGTGTGAGCTCTATTTAAAGATAAATAGGTTGGAGAAAGTTGTAAAATAATTAACTTCAGATTTATTCTGTGCCTATTGTTATTACAAACAAAGAGAAAACAATACTAGGAAATGTAGTTCCTTTCATTCCAACTTTTGCAAATTTATTTAATTTCATCAGATATTGCCTTCAGAGTTTCAAATACAATTTCCAATACCAACTTTGTAGGACATTATGAGAATTATTTATTTTTAAAATAAAAACTGTGCACTTAAAACTAAATTTTGCAGCTATACCATATTCTACAAAGCTACTTTGCATATTTTCTTTTTTTGTGGATAGGTGATACATTTGCATCCTTACTTGTGTTTCTGATTTATCCACATTATGCATCTCTTCCTGGGAATTTGTGACAGTTTCAAAACCATGTGCAAAATAGAAATATGCATGAAGTATTGGCAGGTTATAATTTTCTTCCTTTGTTTCCTGCAATTTTTTGGGCAATTCTTAGAATGTTACAAAATCGGCCCATTCAGTTATATCAGAAGGGAATAAAGTTAGAACAAAACAGACATAGATACATATTTGGCTGTGGCTGTTATGGTCAGACTCTACTCTAGAAGTAAGCTAGAGGTATTAATACCATATCAAAACTATATCTCTCCAATTGTACTATTCAGCTATTTTGATTCTTTGTAGCATCTTTAGCTCAACAGCTTCAATAGCAGTGGATAGCTGAATAATAGGCAAGTCAGACAGAAGTTGCAATCAATATTTACCACTTCAATTGACATTAGATCTTCTAACAGCATTGATTTTTAGTATATCTTATAGAGTTAATCTACGTTTATTAAACTTGACTAAAAGCACAATTATTTAAAGTAGAAATTTTCCATCTTTCTCTGGCTAACTTAGATCTATGGTATATAGAATATCTAGTTATAAAACAGGTAAAAATCATAGAGGAGAATTCCACTGAAGTTCAGGATTGTCTCCTCTAGCAGTCATGGGACCAGAATCTGAGGTTAGAGAGCAAGAAAACAAGTGAGAAAAGGATTGGACAAATATCCCAGATGTTACATTTTTCCTACATATTTCCTCAATCTCAAAGAAAAAAATAAATAAGATAAGATAAGATAACATTTATTGTCTTTTTTTTTTACTGTGGGCACAACGGCACACATCAAAAATGAAATTTAGTTGCCTGCTCTCAAAGTGAAACACATACGTGTACAAATATTTAAATACACAAATAATACATGAAACAGTTTATTTGAAACAATTATATTATTTTAATAGACTTGGAGTTAGCTTTGGATTTTCTATTTTTCTGAATGTTGCTTGTCATTTAATGCTTCTATGCTTGTGCCAGGAAACCTGAGTTTCTCAGCGCATTTGTAGACCTTCCTGTTCCCTTTGTTTTGTGGTTAGTTTTTGAGTTATGATGCTACTGCTCAAGTTGGTTTGTCTGCTACTAAGCATGTAGTTGTATCAGACCAGACAAGACTATATTATTGCAGCTGTTTGAAATCTTACATAGTTTCATATAAGATCTAAGGAAAATAGGCACAGAGATATGCTGTGTGGCTATTTCAATAAGGGTCTTTTTGTATCACTTCAGCGAACATATTATTGATATTATCATAAATGTAAGAAAGCAATCTTGTCCTCTTCGCATAGATTTTACATTTCTTTCAATCTCCTTATTTCCATTGCTTCAGAGAAAATGTATTTTTTTTCTTATGTTCCCCTACTCAGTTCTCCAATTTTTCACTCTGATCTGAAAAATTAAGGGTATGATTTCAAAAGTGCAAATTAGCTGTGCATATTGCTTCTAAACCGGTGGGCAATATATGTCCGTCTGTTTCTTATTAAATACAGTTTCTGTCATCCATAGTCGACATAGCTAGTGGTAAGGACTGAATAAATTAAGACTTCTCATTCAAGAATTCTCTTTCATATAATATCTGTCTGTCTCTGCTGCAATTTACCTACTGTGGGCAGCTGATGTAGGATCTAGCAAAAACTAAAACATTCAGGGTATGATTAAAATGTGACAAATAATATCATAAGACACCCCCCCTTCACACAAGTGAAGAAAATAAGCAAGGTCACTTTGTCCAGGAACAGGATCAGTTGGCTTTATCTAGGGAAGTGCAATCCCATCAAGAATCAAAGATGAAACACCACTACATCTTGGGAAGCCAAAACCCTCAAGCCATTCTACCTGCTGATGTTTAATTGGAGCTGGTTTTCCCCATCCAAACCTTCATAGACTCCAAGAACTGGCTTAGCATTTTACCTAACCAACCAGGAATGGTGACATATAACTAGGTATCATCAACATATTGATGACACCACAACTTATGTCACTGACCTCACCCAACAATTTCATATAAAAGGAATAGTGAGAGACCCAAGCCTTGAGGTACACCATACTACAAGGACCTAGGGTGGACCTTTCCTCCCCCACAGCACCAACATGAATTCATACAGAATTAAAGTATTTATTACAACAGACCAAATTTCTTTTGCAGTGTACTGGAGTTCTTTCATATAGAGTTATACTCAACCATTCCGTTTATTGTTTCATATGCAGTTATGATTACAGATATGATAAATTTTCTTCCCATCATATTTTGATGGGAAGAAAAATCTGTCAGTGATGCATAGATTTTTTTTATAAAGGTTTCTAAAACTTCTTCAACATAATATTATTACAATAATTTCTTAGCATGTGACAAATACCAAAGAGTATTGCATTTATTTAAACCAGGAGTCCCCTTCCAGGCCGTGGCCTGTTCGCAACCAAGCTGTGTGAGTGGCAGGCTGGCGTGCACACAGCCCCACTCACACGAGCAGCAGGCCTTGGTGCTCGCAGCCCCACTCACACGAGCAGCGTCCCAAAGGCTTCTTTCTTGTGTGAATGGAGTTGAACATGCATGCGCGCCAGCCTCCTGCTCACCCAGCCTGGTTCCCCTCCCCAGCCAAGCTGCCTGCTCCCGATGTTCCAAAAGTGGAGCGGTGAGAGCAGAGGCTGAGTGAAACGAGCACATCCTGCTCAGCTTCGTTGACTCACCAAGGTTGCCTGCGCAAGACACTAGATTCGCTTTTGGAGCATGGGGCAGCCTCAGTGAAGGAGCATGAGACCGCACCCCCAAAGGCTTCTCCACATCAAAAGCTTTTGCAGACAGATGAAAGGCTTCGGGAGAACGATTTCATGCTGCTTCGGGCCTTCCATCCATTTACAAAAGCTTTTGGTGTGGAGAAACCTGAAGGAGCCGAGACCGCACCCCAAAGGCTTCTTTTCTCTTTTGTGTGAGTGGACCTGCATGTTTCTGTGGGCCGCCACTCGCACGGCTCGGTTCCCCTCCTCCTCCAGCTGGGCCACCAAGCCACAAAGTTTGGGAACCTCTGGTCTAAACATTTATGCATAATTTTTATTTGGAATGAATCAATATTTTATTTCTGTTACCAACATTTCTACACTGACAATGTAAAAGCACCTAGAGCACCTATATATAAATGAGAACATCTGATTTCCTTTCAGTATTCTAAATTGATACATCATTTTTATTTTGAAATATCCAGTTATGTTTCCTGATTCTTATGTTGGCTTCTTTGTAGTATTACCCATATTCCTGAAAATCAGGAGTCTGGTAGCCGCATTTCTGACTAATATAAGGCATTGATTTTCATGAGCTGCAGCTCACTAAATCAGGTGATTTTTCATCTGTTTATTTGCTTTTTTTCACCATGATGTTTCACAAATGGCCATATTCCTGAAGTGATACTGAAGATAATAGTAATTCATATGAGCTGACTTATCTGTTACTGCTCACAAATATATGATCTGAAGTCTATTAAACAGTTAGAACTCTCATCTTTTATATTGAGAAATATGGCAGACATTTTCATTCTGATTTTTCATTGGTATTAAGTCATAAGTAATTTTATATTCTTGCCACAACCTGCATTTAATATGTCACTGATGCATGACATCTTAGAAAAGACATACTAGCTCTAGTAGTAGTCTTAATTGCAACAGGACAATTGATTGGCTGGAAATATTCTGTTATAAGCTAAACAATTAATATTGTGTGAAATATAAGTAGCAAAATAAAGTAAACTATACTCCAAAGTATGCAAGTAGCAGCCTTACTTTCCTGTACTGATTTTATATGTATGTATGTGTGCATAATATTAAGCCAATTCTTCTTGTGCCATATCCATTATCGGACGTTGGCGATCATGTTGGCGATCCTGTTTTTATCAGCAGCCACACAAAAAAGTGCTGCTGAGTTTTGTCCAAACCAATCCCTTAGATTTTGAAGCCACGATGTTCTTCTTCTGCCTGGACCTCGTTTGCCTTCAATCTTTCCCTGGAGGATTAAATGGAGTATACCGTATTTTTCTGGGTGTCGCATCACATGTCCGAAATATTCTAATTTTCGTTGTTTTAATTGTTTTGATAATTATAAGAAGAATTAGAAGGGAAGGTAAAGGAAAGGAAAGAAGAAAGTTACTGACTTTATGTAGTATAGTGAATCACAATTTCTGATAATTCTGTTTTACCATGAATCAATCAGTAGTAGTGGACATTGCTCAATCATTCCTCTCAGCAGAGATAAGTAGATGGGTAGCAGTACCATGCTTTACTTATTTTTTTTTAAAATATATTTTATTAGATTTTATATGGGTAGGGAAAGGGAAGGGTCAGTGCGGGTACAGGAAAATCGGGATAAAGGGGAACCATGCTTTACTTATTGACTTGTCCAAATCTTAGTACTGTATTTATGGGATCTGTAAGGTATTTCTTCTAATTAAGCTAAGAAACAAACAACAAGAACAAATAATGATTTTTAATTCTGGCTTGGAAGGCAGACAAAATCACCAACACCATGAAGAACAACTTATAGAAATAGTTTCCAGTGTCTCTGTTTATTCAGGTCAATCTTTTTTATTTGATCAGTGTTAACAAGAATATTGGCTTGTGTATACTACCGTAAGTCAGAATACTTAGAAATCCTAATTTACTATGACATACAACTTCTATCAATGTCTTTTGTCTCAAAAATGCCAATTGTTTTTCCTATCCATATTATATTGTGCCTAGCAACTACCAAGTATTACTTGCTATGCATGTAAATTACTGTTTGCCTGCCATTGCTGATTATGTTTGGTTAAATTCCTCCTTTATATATCAATGTACTAAGCATAAATTCAAACCTTGGACATGGTTGATAGATAAAACTAGAGTTAACATTAGAAATTAAATTATTTTGAAGTCTATAGGGTTCTCTATGCTGCATAAAAACTTGTAATAAAACTCTAATTCATCTATTTTTGTTCAATCATGCAGGGATACAGCTTATTGAGGATAACTGTGTCCTTGGATGGACAGTCCGAAATGCAAAGATGCCACAGTTCACCTGCAGTATTAGCACACTGATTCTCCCAGTTGAATGACGAGTGATAAATTCAGCAACTCTAATATTAGCCCAATTTTTTTTAAAAAAAAACCAAAAAACATTCTTAACTTCAGAGTGTTATCAGTAATTCCAGCATCTTTAGCTCCATGTTTTTTTAAAAGTTACATATTTATAAAGTATGATTGTAGATTAATTCCCAAAGTCAATTTTACAAAGAGGTATGAATATTCAGTATATTTAAAAAGATGAGCACACATACACACACATATCTATAATATGTAACACACCTGTAATATGGAGTAAAATAAATAATTTGTTTCTTTAATGTATAGAACTTATTCTAATTCTGCTCGTACTGCTAAGGCTTCATGTATGTCTAAAATTTGCCCCTTTTGGGTAGTGACTTTTCAGCAAACATTCTTTAGAATCTTCTGTCATCTATGTTTATAGATATGGGGGGAATAAAGCATGGCTTTCCTTAAAAATAAGTATAAAATATGTGTTTTAGTACCTGGGTGGAATTTACAAAATGCACAGAATAGCATATATTTATAATCAGACTCAGAAGGTCCTTTGTTTTTTTCCCCTTGTGGCCGGCTCATAGATATGTACATAGGTTACATTGATCATTATTTTTTCTCTTTCTCTAGTACCCGTGAGAGCTTAGCTTCCAATACTTCAAGCATTGTTGAAAGCAACAGACGCCAAAATCCAGCTCTCAGTCCTGCGCATGGTGGTGTAGGTCCAGTGTTCAGCTTCCGAGCAACTGCTGACCCTCCAACAAGCGAAACTGAAAAACTGCAGAAACCCGCTAATTGCTTGCAAGCTTCTGTTACAAGTGTTTGATAGTGCTTCTGCCTCACATCTTCTGTCTCATCGTATACATCAAAGTTTACGACACTGAGATTGATGTTTACGTGTTTGGAGGGAAAAAATAAACCAGGCATTTTAACTGCATAGTTTTTGTGTCAACTTAAACTGTGCTGCTAGATAGGCTAGGGGCAACAAAGAAATCTTTATTTCAAGGCATTGCTTTTCACATTTTGCGGCTCTGTAGCAACAGAATAGGGACAATATGTACACTTTTGCTTCACTTATTGTAACTGAGCACATATATGAAAGTCTAGACACTGTAAGTGTAATCTGCATTTTCAATGTCATGCAGTTGCCAACTTCATTTAAAAATGCCACAGATATGTGATGCCCCCACCACTGATTAAAGTGTTTACCATAGATGTGATTTTTTTTTTCCTTTATAAACTGAGCCTTCATTGAAAATAAACAGCTAAGGGTCACCTTGAAGGCAAACAATGCCAAACAAGATTAGGAAAGACCTCAGCTCTACCTGTGAATTATTTATATATCTGTCATTTTCACTGTGAGTCTTCATGACATGATCTTGCAAGAAATCATAGCAAAAGTAAGTTAAAAGAGGTCATGTTTTAAAAATGTGGGAAGAGGTCGGAGCTAATGGAGAAGTTACCTATTTTTATGTTATTTGAGTTCTTTTAAAGTAAAAAGTAGATATTTGCCTAAATCTTATTTCTTAATTTTACATATTTGCAAGGAGGGGTTTAATTCTTGTAATAGATGGTGAGTAAAGAAAATACTAACTTTGACTGGGACACATCATTAAGTGATAGGAGAGGTAACAAACATAGCAAATATTAAATAGCAAATAAAGTTAAGCAATCACTTTAATGTGTTACCCCAGCTGTTACCCCCCAAATATTACTAACATTGAAAGAATTTGAACAATTATTAAAAAAGCTCTTTGTAATACAAATAATAGTGGCCTGAAGAGTTGATTTCTTTCTATGGAAGGACATTTTATATTTCTATTTTATGTAGATTTTAGAGTGCCTAAATTAGGCTATTGAAATGAGCATACATTGTAGAAAACAGATATAGAGACTAATAAATTTCAGGCTTTTTATTGAATTATATTTCTTTGTAAGTAAACATTGTATGGAAATACTAAGTTTAAGAACAATCACAGGAATTAAACATATCTAGAAGTGTTGCTGATAATGCTGAGAGATCACTTTCCTGATATGAGCAGTGATAAAAAGACTCATTGATGCATACAAAGCTCAATTAGATTTTTCATCATCAAAAGCTAGGTCCATAAAATACATTTACCTCTCTTATAAAATTCACAAAATTAATAGCAGAAGTTCTGTATGCATTGATTTATTATAAATGTATATGTCCTGCAATGGCTAATCCAAAGTAATTTATTTTTGAAAAAAAAAGTATACTAAATTAATGGTTAGAGAGGTTTACAGTTTCAGAAGTAAACTTGAATAATATAAAGGGCCAAATTCTGCTTCAGTTATTTATGCAATCCTACATTGCAGAGAATTGGTTTTTCAAACAATCATAATTGTGGTGCAAGTCAAACTATGAAATTCAGTAAGATCAGGAGTAGTGTAAAGTATTGTGCACATTGACATTTACACTATTTGTCTTTTGTTCTTCAGGTGATATAATCAGATATACCATTAAAGGCAGTATTTTATCAGATACTGGTGACAATATAACTTTTCAAGCTTCACTTGTGTTCTGTGTTGTCTTCTGAAGGTGCACTTTGAAACTGGTTTTGAACAGTTTGCAGGTGCTTCTTGAAATAGCTTTATAAATCTTAGACTTACTTGGTTTCAATTTACATTTTGATCAATTATTTCATTGTAAATCGGGGGGGGGGGGTTTAGAACCTATTGAGAAACATAGAAGTACCTTTTGCATTTCTGAACAAGCAGGAACTGCTTCTTCCCTTCAGTGTTGGGAAGCGTTCTACCATGCTTCCTGAGCCATTTCATTTTGAGTTGCAACCATTCTACACTTAGAACAAGCAGTACAGGAATAGGACTAGCTACTTTATTTATTATCATGTGTAAGTTCTGTTTCCTGCAAAGAGAAAGGTAGAACCCACTGCATGTAATGAAGAATATTATGCTGCTTGATTCCTTGGTCGCCACTCCTAAATTTGAAGCTATGTTGTAATAACCCAGTAAGGCATTGCTGGACAGAACTTACTGCTGACACATATAACATTAGCAGTACTTTAATACATGCAGATTCCAGATAGGTTTTGAGGAAGACATTGTTATCATAATCATTATAATTTGAATTTGAAACATGTTTTGATAGTATGATATGTATTAGTTCACCAAGTAAGAATTGTAGAAACAGATTGCTTAACTTATGGCCAAAAGCAAAAATCAAAACACAGTATTAAAATGAGGCAGATATTACCACATATGGAAAATTACTATTTTCATCAGTGAGAATTATTGAAATGGATACCTGTAGCAATTATGCAAAATAAATCATACCACTGTTATATTTACAGATTATCTAAGTTGACATTTAAGGGTTCCCAAAGAAGAGCTTTAAAAAGGTCCTGACTATGTTGGCATGGTTATTGGCCAATAGTATGTTTATGACTTTTTATTAGCATTAATGTAATTCTTGCAACATGTAATATAAACAGAAGTTAAAAAAAGAAATGTTCTTATTGTGCATTATTTTTTAAGGAAAGCCCATCTTGAGATCATAGATATATACCCACAGGAGTGGAGCTTGAGTGTTGAGTGACAAACTGTTATCCTGTGATAAAATTATGATGATCTTGTATTACATGGTTGATTATCCTCCTTTACCATATCAGCTGAAAGGTTTACAAACCCATAATACGTTGAATTTCTATGTTGTGACTTTAAAGGGTCAACACAAATCTGTCGGCATTTTGCACACTGAATATGTATTATTATAATACAACATATTACTTTTATGGTAAAAAAGATTTTTTTACACATATAACTACCTCCATGAATTTGATGAAATGCAGCAACATTTTAAAAAAAGGTAATGTTAAGAGCAGCATTTAAAATTTCATGAAGAAAAAAAGGCCATGATGTTCTCTCGTGTGTCAGTGCTTGTGTATGAAGTCATTTTTCATTGCCATGATTTCCTGTTACTGTGTTAAATTGGCTTTGACTTTAGTAGTACAAGTTTTTATAAAAAGTTGTAGAATCTTTTAGACAAACAAAGGGAGATTCAAAATTGTCCTTTGTATTTCCATTTCTGTTGAAATGTTGACCTGATAGAAAGTCAAGTGTTGCTGGTAATTTAGAAGCCTGTTAATAGATACAGTATATGGAATATGACTGGCAGTTTAGGGCTTAACGGGAGACATGCCGGCTATTTTAACTGCCTCCATTGGAATGCTTTGGCTCCCCTTCTGCCCCATTTGTGGGGAGATAGCATGCCAGAACTTAACTTATATGCTTACAATTAATTGCCCATTGGTGTGATAAATTTCTCAGTTTTTGATCTTAGACATCTTGGGGGTTAAATGTTATAAGTTGAGTCCTTTTCACCATGATATAAGTAGTCTGATGTCTTGACATTATGACATCAGAAATGTAGCCACAAAATAAGATGAAGCCACTGGTTTTCATTTTAAGATAATAATCAGGTTGTTTGCTGTTGTTTTCTTTTTAATGAGGAGCAGTTAAGAAGTACATAAAAAAATATAGAGAAAGGCAGAGGATCAAGAGGCATTTAAATGGCAGTTGCCTTACAACAACTATATTTCTGATGTGTTAGGCATACAGATTGGATTTTTCAGTTCAATGCAGAATTTTTAAGGAGATAATTGGAGGAACATATTTTCAGAATATTTTAAGCTGTTCAGATAGTACTGGCTTTATTATATTCATGGCCATGGACACAGTGTGCCTGAAACATATTGCAGTCATACAGCAAAGTTATCCAGATTCTGCACCTGCAATCTGAATGCCAATTTGCTCCTGTGCTCTTTTGTTAACCTGAAAGGAGAACTACAACTAGACCCTTCCTAATGACAACCCTATGCAGATCCATCCTGAAATCAAGAATTAATCCTCAAGGGTGAAGGGATTAATCTCCCTTCATAGAAATGCAGAAGATGCCAATTCCCAAAATTCATGCTGTGTGGTGCAATCATGGACACAATTACAACAGTCATCCCTGAATATAATAACCAGATAAATATAAAAGGGTTCTGTAATTAAGCAACATTCTTACTCTCAGTAAATCACCAGCATTAGCTGTCAATCAAAAATGACAGCTACTTCTACTTTGGGGGGTAGTGAATGATTTTAATAAAAAGAGCAGGTCATGAAATAGTGGTAATAGGTTATTGTGCCTTGACTTCACAAGTCAACAAACAAGTGGGAAAACTCCACTGAAATACAATGACTTGCTTTTTTGTAAGTGTTCTTAGGTTCACAAATCTATCAAGTAAGGGTGCTGCCATCTGCCCTGAGTTTATTGTATATCAGGGTATCTTTGCCTGCCTGCTTATAATGTTTAAAATAAGATCAGTATTAATACAGCAGCATTCACTTAAAGTTATTGAAGAAAAGAAACTATTATGAAACCTTGCACTAGCTCTTACCAGAGTGCCAAAATGTTTCACTTCCAGCAGCATAGCCATTCCCATTGACAAGAACAAAAATTAATACAAGCAAGGAAAATAGTTTAAATATGTTTTATGCAGGACTTGCTTTAACAGGAAGCCGCCAAATTCATTAATGTAGTTTGCTGTAGTTTATACTTCTTTCTGCTCCTCCATGCAAGTGATATTATAAAATAGAAAAACTTTTAATTCTTCCTGTGGACTGACTTTTGAAAAAGAAAAGAAAATCCCTTTCAGTCCTAAGCATTCAGTTAATTATTGTAAGCATTTTTTTTCAAGGTCTATGGCACTTCCAAACTGCCCAGCCCTTATCTGCCCTTTTGAGAATTTAGACATTCTTGGATTACCTACCAAGAGATGGTCACATCCTCTTCGAAAGCACACAAACCAGCTACGGGAGGTTTTCTCTCCTTATAGCTGGCATTTTAAGCCTTTCTCTGCTGCAGATTTATATA